TAGCCGGCCTCTGCGTGTCGGAACCTATCCCGAGTTTCTCATGGGAAGTTTCGATTGGGACAGAAAAGAGTTACGTGTCCCCATTTTCACCAAGCTTTAATAAAATTAATGAAATTTTTTTTGCTAATCCTAAAATCAATCATTTCAAAATAGATTACATTATTAAAAAAATTCAAACTATGATAGAACCTAAATTTTAAATATAAAAAAATATGTATTTAGACTTTTGTGTTTAATGATATTAGTCATAAAAGAGTGCACTCTCTGCTCTCTTTAGGTTTGGGTTTGAATATGTTAAAAAAAAATAAAAAAATACATATAAAAAGTTAACATATTATTGTTCATTCATCTTAGAAAATTAAGAAAAAATTCAAAAGTTACATTATTTTAGTAAAATATTATTAAAAAATATCAAAGTAGTCCTATTCTTATTTATAGATTATTTTAGTTTTCTTCAGTTGAAATTTATTGAAATAAATTAATTTTAAAATATTTTTTCTCTCAATTTTTTAAAAATCTAACAAATAAATATTTTTCTTAAGAGTTAACTACTAATAAAAGAACAAAAGAAATCATTAATAAAAACTATGTAAATGAGTTTTAGACTTAAAAATAAACAATGAATTAAATTGGGTTGAATTGGATGTATTGTGATTTTTTTATATTTTATATTTTTACATTTTGCAAGGAACAGGGATCTTATGGGTCATGTGAAATTAAGAAATTTATCACGATTTTTGCAAAGAATATTACCTTTATCCTCACCCCATAACAAAGAATATTTCTTAAATCCCTGTCTAAATACCCATGAGGTTCCACAGGTCATTGAATAAATTGAAATCGCTATACGTAGATCCTACTCACCTTTCAAAACACAAAATGAAAGAAATTAAAAGCATTTCTTTCATTAAAATTACAAATTATGGCATTTCTTCTTTCTCAAAGCTCTTTCTTCACCTTCTATATCATATTTCTCCCTCAAATTGGTTGTAATTCATTTTAGGATAAAAAATAAGAACTTGATTTATAAGGTGAATAGAAACGATATTACTTGTTACTCGTTTAGTTAAAATTTGAGAACTTTTCACCTTATTTTTTCTTTCCATTTTTTCCAAATTGTAGTTGTTAAAAAAAGAAAAAGAAAAAAACTCTCATAATCATTAGATTTCAATGAATATCTAAAGACTTCAAAAGATGCATACAAAAATAACAATCAGGCAGAGACGCCTGAACTTCTCACTTTAAAATAACTTCAACATCTTCCTCAAAGATCAACAAAAATAGTAGTTATTTCAGGTGTTGATCCCAGCATTTTATTACAGGTAAAAAAAGTATCAGGTACCAAAAAATACTTAGTATTATTTTGGATTTGCCACAAAAAAATATATATATATATTTTTTTTTACAAAAGTGGAACCAGTTTATATTATAAAAAAATTAGTCAGAAAAATACCTAAAAATATGTCACATTAATAAAATTTTATTAAGAAACTTAACATATCATAATTTTTAAAGTAAAAATAAGATTGTTTTAATTTTTTTCATAATATTTTATTAAGATAATGTAGTTTGAATATTTTATTCACTTAATTTTTTTTGTAATACACGTTGTTACCCATCACTTCCTATCTTTTTTCGTAAAAATTAAATTCATAATTTTGAAATGATATCTAATAATAATAATAATAAATTATGCCCAAAGAAACCATGTCATTGACATAACCAACATGTTAATTAAAAAAGCCAAATTTATAACGTCCTTAGAAATTCTTTAATCTACAAAAAGTTAACAAGAAATTCACAACAATATATTTAACAAATCAAAATAAGACAATAATATAGGCACCATTTTGTTTAATATATTCCATAATATACTTATAAAAAATTATTATTTTTTGATTTAGACTTAATGGTAAAAAATCTTAAAACTATAAATTTTAGGTTAAAACCCTATTTGGTCCCTAAACTATTGTAGGACCCTTGATTTGGTCCCAAACTTAAAAAATCCATGATTTGGTCCCTGGTGTTTACCATTTTAACCCTGATTTGGTCATTCTGTTAATTTTTTCACATTAATTGACAGAAGAAAACAAAAGAAGCATTACGTGTCACACAAAAATAGACAAGTTGGCAAAAATAGTTGACATAGCTATTCCAACTCATCCACCACCAAAAAAAAAAAAAAAAAAATTTTTTTTTTTTTTTTCGTTCCTCTCTTTCCTCTTTCCTCTTTCCTTTCTTCAACTGCAAACCCTAACATCTCAACCAATCTATTCATCTCAATCAATTTCTACCTTTACTGGGTTCTTCATCACCATTATTAAGCAACAAAACCCATTAAAAGATAGGATTTTTTTAAAAAAATTTTTTACCCTTGGATTCTTTCGAACCCAAGCATGTTGGGTTCCTTTAAACCCAACACCTGGGTTCAATCGAACCCAACAAGCACCCTTTCTTTCTCTTTCATCTTCCTTGCCTTGCATTTTTCATCAATCAATTCTTCATCCTCATTAACCAATTTTTCATCTTCATCAATCAATTTTTCATCATCATCAAACAATAAAACCAACAAAAAAAAAAAAGAGAATTTTTTTTTTTATTTTTTGCACCTGGAGGAACCCAAGACTTGGGTTCGATGGAACCCAGGCATGCTAGGTTCGAAGGAACCCGTGCTTGGGTTCCATAGAACCCAAGTGTGTTGGGTTCCATCGGACCCAGGCATGTTAGGTCCGAAGGAACCCACGCCTGGGTTCGAAGGAACCTGTGCCTAGGTTCGAAGGAACCTGTGCCTGGGTTCCATTGAACCTTGGCGTGCTAGGTTCCAAGGAGAAAGAGAAGGAAAAAGAAAAAAGGAAAGAAATTTTAAAGTTTTATTTTTCATATCAATATTTTTTTTATTTTATTATTTTTTTTCATGTCATTATTTTTTCATCATGTTGCCTTCCACGTATGTTAATATTTTGCCATGTCATTATAAAGTCGTGAATTAATAGGACACGTCATGAGGTTTTTAATGGAAGAACTAAGTTGAGGTAAAAATGGTAAACAGTAAAAACTAAATCAAGGATTTTTTAAGTTTAGGGACCAAATCGAGGACTCATACAATAGTTTAAGGACCGAAAGAGGGTTTTAACCTAAATTTTAATAACTAAATAAAATGAGTGAGTGTTAACAAATATATTGAATCAAAAATGTATCAATCACTTTCCATCAAGAAAATAATGCAAAATGAAAATCTAATTTCAATCATCATTTTGAACATAAAAATAAGGATTTTTTTTTTTTTTGAACGTTGAAACTTAATATGAAATGTCCTTTATAAGAGAGAAGTGATCACTAAATTATAGGGACATTCTCATAAAGATAAGGAATTTTTTGTGTTTTGAACATGAGGCAATTTTTGGGGAGTGAGGGACTTTTTCCAAATCGTTGATGAGAATTAAACTCCTGATTAACTAAACCCAAACATTAAAGTTTGGAGACAAACCACTAACCTAATTCCATAAAGATAGGGATTTTGATCTTAAGCAATTCCATAACTTGAATTTTCATAAACTCCAAGCCGAGGTTGTTTGCATTTTCAGATATTGTGTTACTTCATGGTCATAAACAATAACGTCATCAGTCTCATCAGTGTTCAGATTTATCAAAGAATCATTGATAAGTTTATAATCCCTTTTTCATCAAAAAGGGCTGGTTCCTTAATCATCCAATTAGCTAATTTGTCATCCTTCTAATTCCATCCCATTCTCTCTCTCATTTGCACAAGTAAAAAATTTTTTAAAAAAAGTAATGGATTTTACTCCCCTCCCCTCCCCTCTCCTCCCCTCAAACCAAACATACCTCAGGCTCAAGCAAAACCTTTGAATTTATAGAGGCACATAGAAATTAAAAAAGGGGCATTCTGTTGCGAGAGACAGGTTTAGGGGCTGATTTACCAGCAAAAAACAGTTGAGAGGCTGTCCATTCACAACAATGTAAGTTGAGGGGCCCATTTGCACTTCGGCCAAATGGAAACTACTGGTTCAAAACTGCTTTTATGAGTACAATTAAGTGACTTCTTCAGTTCTCTATAGATAAACTCAAAACTTTCAAACACCATCCATCCCTCTCCAGGCAGCTACAACGTTGTTTTTTCCCCTTCTTTCAAACCAACTCTTGCTCCATTTGTATGAGAGATTATCACTGGACTGCTTAAGTTGTTAGCTAGGCAACTACAATGTTAAATTTTCTTCTTTCCTCTTTTTCTTGAACTAGTCTCAGGCCCTTCTGCTTCTTCAGCCTTCTGCTCTGCCTCCAATACAGCCAACTGTAACATACACAAAAATAAAAATCTCATTTAAGTTTGACCAGATTTTATTAATTGGCAGCCCCATAAAGGTGGGAAAAAGAGGTGAAAAGTTTACCTCATCAAGAAGTGGTTTTAATTCTCTGTATCGAGCTTCAGCCAGATCAAAACCATCTTTACGAAGCTCCTGCAACGCAAAAGATCACATCATCATACATGAACATGAACTGATTGTTAAATTCATATAAAATGGAGTCCATACATCTTTGCAACAAGAAGATAAATTAAACAAAATAAATTAAACAGACCTTTCCAGTATGTTGAGTATGTTCATGCGCTGCCATTTGCCAATACAAACTTGTTCGTCTATAGAAATCCCTCAAGGATTCTCCAGGCTTCAAAAGAAAAGACATGCAATCAATCACAATGGAGCAATGTAAGAGAAAAAAGAAAAAAAGCAAAAAAAGAAAAAGGAAAAAGGAAAAGACCGAAACTTCATTGGTAAATTTGGAAAAGGAAACACGCACCAGTTCAAACACTAATAGAAGGCTAAAACAGGTACTAGATTCACCATGCAAACACTAATTAATTATAAACATGGAAAACTCTTTTCCCAAGCATTTAGACCTGGTGTTGCAAACCATCTTAGTTTTTTATTCCAGGAAGGCGGAAATCATTATTATTAAAGATTAGAAACTGTGAAAATCCAAGAAAATGGGGGAGAAAAGAGGATGAAGGCAGGGCATGTACCATTGGTGTTCGCTGTGCATCTGAAAGGCCAAGATTAGCTCTTATCTGTTCTATCCTGGCCCGTTTCTCTTTCCTCCTTAGAGTCTTTCCTTCACCCTTTATTAAAGCAACGGCATCCCCCATTTGAAGAGATCCAGAAGCATCATTCTCAGCCTATGCAGACAAGTTGAGATAAAATGATATCAATCAGCAGGTTTACGTATGCTAAATTTAAAAAAAGGAACAAATCACATTAAACAGTTAAGAGTTAGAACTATCAACATGTTTAGATGTTCCTTTCTTTGGCAAATACACTTTTAGGCATTCAAAACCAGATCTTTTAATTAACATATCTCAAGCATGAGGAAGAAAAGAAGGAATGAAAAGGAAGAGAAAAAGCACCATGGCACTCAAAGTAATCATATAAATTTCTCTTAAAAGAATGACAGGATCTAGGATTTTTTTTTTCTTTTTTTGATCGCAAAGAGCAAAATAGCATAGCTTGGTTAGAAAAGAATTGTCATCTGTGGAATGAAAAAGGAATCATTTTAGCCTAGACTACTAGAATTTTAATCAGGGTAAAGCCTTCCTAGAGCTCTTAGTCTGTTTAAAATCCTTATTTAATAAGAATAGGGTTTTTTCCTAAATCAGTATGCTGAGAAAGGATCAACTTACACTAGAGGAAGAAGAAGTAAGGAATTCTTACACCAGTTCATAATTTTCAGTACAGTTATTTTGAAAAATCAGAATATTATATTCATGTAGATTATGCAAATTTCAGGTTGATCAAACATCTATATCATTCCATTGAAGAAATTGTATTTTCTAACATATATTTAACGGTATAAAATTTTGTGATATTAATGAAATAGTCAGACACATTCAATCATTATGAAACTTGGCATTGGGGTGCATAATCAATAGAATGGTTAGTTTTTCAAAACATTAACTACACTGAAAATTATGAGCTGGTGTAGGAATTTCTTATTCTTACACTAGTGTAAGTTGATCCCTACTCTATTAGCAAATGATGTGTATTTGATGCCTATACATATTCCTAGAATTGAGTTCTATCCATTGAGTTATTTGGAGAATTCTCTTTTTTTTTTCCTTTCCTTCTCTCTTTTCTATTTCTTCTTGTTGCTAGTCTAGATTAATTTGGGTTTCAGTTCACAACTAATCTAAACTTGCTGCAAGCTTTGTTCTATCAAGCTAAAACCCTAGAAAACAAAAACTAATTCACCCTTAATCCCTAAATTCTTTTCAACATAGCCTGAGCACCATAACTTGTTCATAGATATTTATGCCACCAAATCTGGCTATGAGCTGTCCCCTTAAATTTTGCCTCTTAAAAATAATGTTTATGACTAAAGCAAGGCCAACCAACTTTCGATAATAAAAATAGGAAAGTTCCAATTTAACTCCATTTTGGCTTATTAATTTCTTGGTAACCTTTACAAATTAATACTTCAATTCCTCAAAGGAAGTTGTTCAACCACTGCAACAGCAGGCTGCAATTTGACCTTAATTCAACAATTCAAGATGCAACAGCACAACAGCAAAGGTAGTATCTCAACCTTATCTTCTTCCACAATTGAGAATTCAAGATCAATCAAATCTTAATGTTTTTAATAGAGGAAATAAATTATTGGACATTGCTGATTTTCATGGGGAACTAATCTGGAATTGTTTTTTGATTGGGTGTAAACATACGAAGTTTCTTTCATTGCTATTGAGGGTCAAGTGATAAGCAAAAATGGTTGGGCCTTAAAAATAACAAAGCATGTCAAATAAACACGTGGGCCCAAACATAACATGAGCATCCAAGACAAAACCAATCGGCATTAGGTAGAGTAACACAACTTTATTTAAATACACAAGTTCTTTCTTTAATTTGCAATGTAGGACTTTTACCCGCAGAGAGCAAATTGAAAAGAAAGTTTATGTGGAAAAAATACTAACAAAAGAATTATGTTGCTCTTAGAACATGGGAAGACATGAAGGTTGCTGTGACTCAATATTTAATGCTGCCTATTTACAAACTACACCTTCAATCAAAATTCACCCATTTGATGCATGCAAGGAACTATGAGTGTAGAAGAATATACTCACAAATAAACCCCTAAAATCAAACCCTTATTCACCCCTAAAATCAAATTTCTTACATTTAAAACAATGAAAGCCCAATTTTCTATGCCTTTATTCCACCACAATAGCTGGTAGACAAATTCCTTAAATTTGTCCTACATTACATGTATCTGAAACAGAAAGCCAGAATAGGTACCTCAGCATCTTCATCATCATCAGTGTCCCCGCTGTTGCTACCACTGTTACCTTCATCTTCAATATCATCTTCACTATCATCTTCTTCTTCATCTTCTGAGGCCTCCACCCATTCAGATTCAGATGCCTAGGTACAAAAAAAGGAAAATTCAGAAGAAGGAAAAGAAAAGAAGGGCAGAGTCAGGAGGAAGCTGATCCTAAAGCAATCCTAAGTGCACAGACTGATGGTATTTATTAACTACCTCACATGATCAAGAAATAAAATCCACAAAAAGATTCGTATTAAAAAAATAAAATAATGCAGAGATCTAGTTTCTAAATTGTATTAGGGAGTGATCATGAGCAAGGCAAAGAAAGCCCAAAATATAATAAAAAAATTTTCTGCAAAAGTTATGTAATACCATTGAAACTATAGTCAACAAGTTTGATAGAGAATTTAGTTCATCCTAATAATTGATCTCTTCTCAAAGGCTAGGAAGGACATGGATTTTACCCCCCCAGAAAAAAAGGAGGATATGATGACCAAACAAAAATAAAGGATTCCAACAAACCGGTATAATGCACTTCCATTCATCGAGTTTGCTAAGATTAAGCGAGTAGAGATCATCAAGTATGATTTCTTGATCTTTAATCTCCATCATGCCCCCATAAATATATAAAGCATCTTTCCCGACAACCATACAGGAATTTATACGTCCACAGGGCTTTACAATCTGAAATTTTTCAACAAGATTCATATTCAATAGCAAGACAAATGCAATCCATTGAAAAATCATTGTTAAGACAGGAAAACAAACCTCCGGTGAACAAGAAGTTTGAAAATCAGATTTAGCTTTAGATTGTTGAGGCTTTGGAGCAGATTTGGCCATTGACCCACAGTCATTAACTGTCATGTTTGTTGCCATGTCTTGAGATACTTCATCAATTCTGCTTTCTACATCACCTCCTTCTTCCTCACCTCTTTCTTCATCATACGCTGGATCATAATCATCACTTGCAGTAAACTCATTCACCTTATTATCAAGATCAGAAGCACTATGATTTTGTTCAGCACCCTTTTTTAACTGCAGGATATTAATAGTAAGAAACAGTACATTATTCAAACAAAAGCCACCTTGAAAGAAGAGAGCTTAACAACCAAGTCTTTAAAACTTCGGGACAAAGGAAAAGAGAAAAAACAGAACCCATTCTGATGGCTGAACCAGAATATGCCAGTAAATTAAACCAGATAATCACTGGTAGATAAATCAACTTCAGTTGTGTAGTTAAGACTTAAGATCATACCTTATCTTTGGTTGACTTTTCCTTCCGCAGCTCCAAGGGATACCTATAGACACAGAGACTTAATTACTCATTTGAAAAACTATAATGATAATATTGCAGAATTAAAAGAAATCAAAGAAGAAAAGGATGGGAAATAACTCATGCCATCAAATTAATTGTGAATGAATTTACTTGAAATATAAAATCATGACTTCAAAATAATTTAAATTTTCAGTTTGATCAGTTCTGTATTCCAGAACAGTCCTAAAATATCAAATTAGATTAACAAAAAATGCCCACTCAATGGAATGAGAAAAAATAATATTTTCAACTATTCTAAAAAGAAGAAAGGTGGCTTACCAGCGATAGTTATCTAATTGGAAGCCATAAAGTTCATTCAAGAACAAGCTCATCATTACATCACCTGCATGAAGAACGGGACAAATAAGATGCCTTAAGCCTTGACCTTTCAGGCAGCAACAATCCATTTGACCAATGATAATGTCAACAAACAAGACTGACCACTAATGCACCACTGATAGTATGATACAATTCAACTCAAAAAAGGCTGTTCTCATGCTTGAGTATATCCATTTTTGCTTTTTAATTTTAAACTAATATAATTCAATAATGACAAACAAATACACCTTGCCCCTAAATAAAGTCACTTTCTGCATTTCAGAAAATATAAGCCTAGCCATACATAGAGGAAACAGTTTCTAAGGAATTGATGGCCCAGAGTAATTTTCTGTATTTCAGAATCTTTAATCTGAAAAATCCATCTCATGGATGCAATTTTGATCATAATCCAATATAGCCAAATGATCAAGGAAATTTTACATATTATTGCAATTGGAGCTTCCCTTAACAGTTGGAAAATATATTAGCAACAAAATGGTCTTTTTTCCCAAATGAAAAATGTACTTCAATGATATTTTCCATCAGGATGGGCCTATAACACAAAGGTAACAAGGTCTGTATGGTTTAGCTTATGGAACTCAACTGATAGCTAGTAGCACACACCAGTTAGCAATCAGCTGCTGTTGATTGAGATTAGTGTTTCGTTCTTTGACTGTTAGCTATTGCTTTTGAAGTATTAAATGACTAATAAAGACACATCATATTCGTTAACCATATTAGTTTATTCTCTTTAATAATCCTTTCTTTTTTTCTTTTTCCTTTCTGTATACCAATTCTTATTCTTATTCTTATTATTTTTTGTTTTTAGTTTAACTTAACAGCAATAATAATATTAATCATACTAAAGAATACTAACAGACAAAATAGATTAATGCAATGATTAATAAATAGAAAAGTTCGCTATACTTCAAATACTCAATTTGTAATTATATCTATATAAATGATGTTATTTACAATTTCAACCCAAAGTAATTGCAAAAATAATAATATTTCACAATAGTTTTGAAATAGATCCTACATGAACTGTGCAAGTAAGAAAATAGAAAAAACTGACCTTCCATTTCCATATCTACTACTCCACCGAAAAGCAAAGCACGCTTTTTATGAACACACAAGGAAAACCCAGCACGAGGCCCAGGAGGCATCCCATTTTTCTTTACCTATTAGACAGAAATTATATTACTGACAGAATCATAGATAAAGGAGAGCATTGATAGAGAAAGAATTTCATAAAGAAGAAGCAGAGTAGAAGCTATTCAGCAGAAAGTAAAGCATTAAAAAAAAAAAAAAAGACATTGTCTTGTCTTGTACCAATAACTACTCAGTTGAAAGTTAAAAGCTTCTAAAAACATTACAATATTATATTTTAAGTATTTATTAAATTATACTGACAGGAAAGGAGAACAATTTTCCAGCGCCTACAGGTTACAGCTTTGATTCCGTACATAGGATGGATACAAGAACTTAGAATAATTCACATATTAAAACACTTAGAGATAACTGACTGATTATATATTATATAATCAAGAATACTTGTTTTTAGAAGGTTACCTATGTAAAATAAGGGGATTTATACCAAGAATATTACATGTGCTTTTAAAAAATGACATTTATTCTCAATGGAGCATGATGATGCAATTACATGTTTTATATGTGCACATGACCTAACTGATGGAAGCATTCCCATCATTGGAAAGGCATTTCTTAGTCCAACACTGAGTTCCATCAAAGGAAAATCTCTAAATCAAATATGAAGATATGCTTCCATTTCTTAACCATATATTGGTAGTGTATGAGAAAAGAAAGAACAACACACCTTGTTCCATTCCCAAGTCCTAGGATCAAGAGACCACATGTCTGAATGAACAATTCCTTTCTCAGAACCATTTTTATCAGAGGATACTTCTTTGGAGTAGCCGCCATATAAAAAGATCTACAGTGTCAGAAAAGAATATACTTTAAATTTCACCAAACATATCATTTATCAAGTTTATAAACCAAAGTAATCATCATTCATCAAATGAATGAAATATCTTTAGAGATCACTGGATTCCCCTATTAAGCCCAAAAATGTAAAAGGAAAGAAAAAATAGGCAACATACTGATCAATGACAGGATACAAGGATGGGCACTGGCCAAAAGAAAATGACAAGATATAAAGAAAGAAGAATTTTCTGATTACCATAAATAACAATTGAGATATAAGGCACTGAGGTTAGTATAATAGAAGAAAGGCTTGAATATGATACATCCCCCCATAAACTTGAACAGAATTTGAGTATTAAACAGAAAAATAGAAGCCCAAGAAGTTGTAACAATGTGTGAACAAACTTTGGCTAATAGGTCCTCAAGCTTAGACTTGACAACTAACAAGTGCATTATTTTACCTGATCTTGAAACACAAAAAACTGAAAGCCACTTCGGGCACTTGGCCACATGGCTCCAAGCTTAGGCTTTATTTCTTGCCACTACAATCAACATTAGAATGGTTCTAGTGAGAAAACAGATAGGTATTAATAAATAACAAGTTACATTAGTGGCATAACATAAGATGGACCAAATGTTCACCTTGAACTGATCTAGGTCGAAGACATACAAATCATTATAATACCTGCAGAAGAGTAAAAGAACAAAATAAATCTAGCAACATGGAACAATAGAGGGTAATGCTTTCACATTGCAAACATCCAACATAAAGCGAAATAACAATAGGTGGAGTCATCCATGAAGTATTTAAGTCCACACGTTTCCCCTTAACTTGCAGATGTGGGATTTCTAACAAAAACTCCCCTCATGTGCAGGCCCATTGGTCTGCCACATGGACTAGCAACCACAACCCACCAACCCTAACAACTACAATGGCAACCACCCTTTGGGTTGCGCACTAAACGGGGCTTGCAGTAACCACCCTTCAGTTGCACACACAACTGTGCTGCAACACCGAAAAGGATGGGCTTTGATACCATGTAGCCATCCAACCTACAGGCTACAGCCAATTGGCAATGGGTGGATTAGCTCCCATTGTATAACTCCACAATTTTCTTAACTCACTGATATGGGATTTTTCCACTTAACACACATAAAATAATGTCTCTCAAGGATTATTAAGAAGACAAAAACTGGACTGCCAAATGTCACATATTTCAGAGTTACAACAAGCCAAGAAATTAAAACTTCCACTGTAATGAAAATAAAAGATAAATTGATAAGGTCCAATCTCTGTTCAGTTTCAGTCTTCTAAAATCCATAGAACCATGATGAATCTTGTATTCAAAGTCCTTAGATTGCAAAGTGATGACATGCCGAGAATTTGAGAGGGAAAAAAGGTAACAATTAATTTTAATTAATCAGAGTCATCCCATCATTCCAGAACTAACTTTATGTACTATTCTCCCATCAATACTAAATGTCAAGGAGTAATCAACTAATCATTGGAAGTTTTAGAAGACAATTCTCAAACACATCAACAACCACAGCTACTGTAATTCAATTCAAAGTAATGCACAAAAATTGAAGTTTATGCATGACAGGCATGAACATTGAGAAGAAGATCTAAAACTGCTTAAAAAAGAGCAGAGAAATTGATTTCAAGGTTTTCAACAGGTTTCAACCGTACAAGTTATCATGTAATCTTTGAGATTTCCTAAAAAGGACTTATTAACAACCTTACTTCTCTAAGAGTGTCGTAGAAGCCACCAAAAACAATAATCTTGTGCTTGTATAGGACCTGCAGTAGAATCAAGCTCAAAAGTAAATAACATGAAGTTCAAACAAAGAAATTTCTGCTGTAATTGGGCATTATAGCCTCCAGAAAATCAAGTATTATTATTAAATGCCCAAAACAGACAAAGTCTGCAGGAAATTCAAGTACAAACCAAAGTAATATATCATGGATGCTACCCATAGTGTATTTACAGCTTTAGTATTGATTGCAAAATAGTAACTGGTTGAAACCTTTGGGAGGATTTCATTTCACTGAAATTGTACAAACAAATTATGTCTTAAATACAGAATATTCATATGTATATATACCACATAGATAGATCCACAAAACTAACTGGTGGATTCTAGAAACATAATGATGGGTATCTTTTAGTATTATTTTATGACAATGGCATAATGAAAATTTTACAAATAGTTCAAATTAAGCACACTGGAGTTCTCAATCATGCTGATCTTCTCACTCTAAGACAACATAACTCAAAGCACATAAGATGTAGCTTCAAACAATGGGGGCCATATTTCAAAATGAAGTGGTGCTCACTGAAATTTCTCATCAAACTTTAGTATGATTTTATGATTTTACCACACAATAAAAATTGTCTGAATGATTCAAACCAATCAACTCCTAAGCATAGTTGAGCTCCTAATAACACCAGATCATCTTCCCCAAGGGAGCACAATCCAAATTCACTAGATATAGCACTTTGACAATTCTGGTTATATATTAAATTCAAATGATACTTGCTGAAAGCTTGTCCATAAATATCTTCAAAATCTGTTATAACCATAAAATTTCCATAAGAGTTATCTTTTTATCAACAATGAAATACTAAACATCAAACCATTGGAACCATTCTTGTTTGATAATCACTACCTCATCCATTGACATTGTCACATTGAGCATATTCCAATGTGCTTAGAGGTGCTCGTTGATAGATTTACATCTTAAGAGGTTGAAGCAGATACTACTTCTAAGATCTTTTATCTATATCTCATGGCAATAAAACTCACATGAACCATAACGGTAACTGTTTATATACATAAAAAATTAACTTTTTATAGCTATCTTCTCATTTTAATGCAACAATTTATTGATTAAAAGCCTATACTATACTATTTCACAATCTATAAAGCTATTACTGACAGACATTGTCCTTCCACTACAACAGTGAATTTCATGGAAGATGGATATTATGATGCAGATAAGGAAGGAAATTATATATTTATTAGGATTTTCTTATGATTATGAATATATAGGAATTAAATGAAAATATTACTAGTAGCTTATATTTATTAGGATCTGTTATTATCTTTCAATAAAGATTCAATTAGGAGTCTAATTACAAAGTAAGTCTAATTTGGGTTTTTAGCTTTTATATTTAAATGTAGGCTGTATTAGGGTTATTCAGTTGAAGTGTTTATGTATTGAAATTATCTTCTAAAAATCCCTAATTCCGTTATTCTCTTCCAACCCTTGCCTTTGTTTCTAAGTTCTATCCTCACCTTTGCTTCCTGTTCTACATCAATTTGGTATCAGAGCTACCAAAAAAATCCCACAAACCACAAGCTTTGATTTCCTTGAAAAAAGATTTGTGAGATCCAACGTTATCTTTTGGGAACTGATGTAGGAGCCTTCAAACAGATAGCACCCGAATCCGGAATCCATTTTTGAGTTCTATTTTGATAGGTCAGTGGCTTGAAATTGACTTTCTAGTTTAATGGGGTGAAATTATGGTTTGCTGATAAAATGGTTGAAGGAAGTTGGGTATTCCCTCAAGAACCCTCCTTCCTCAATTGATGAACTTCTCTCTATCTTGTTACAATTAAGGATTGTCCTTTCAAAAGTGGAACAAAAGCCATGTCCATACTTGAAAAGGCACTATATCCATCAAAACAGGCTTTGGTTTCAAAACAGCTTTTTCATCATTCACATGTCCATGTTAGAATTGCTGTTGCAGCTTGCATTAGTGAGATGATCAGAATTACTACTCCAGATGCTCCATATGATGATGACAAAATGAAGGAGGTATCTAAATTAATTGTTTCGTCATTTGAGAATTTGTTTGACAATAAAAACAATTTTGAGCATTATGGCCAGGGTTCAATCTTGTGTGTTGATGTTGGATCTTGAGTGTGATGCACTAATTATTGAAATGTTCCAACATTTTCTATTATCAATCTGGGATTACCACCCACAAGTTGTCGGGTTGTCTTTGACTATATGGAAAGTATCATAACTCTTCTTTTACAAGAAAGTGAAGATATTCAGAACATGATACAGTGAAAGTTCAAGGAAACAATTTGGTGGGTTACTTGACTTCTCTTTTGTTGGGTTCTGAACAAGAATTCAAGCCAAATGAGTTACTTGAAGAGCTTCAACATTCAGAGGGCAATGACATTGTGGAAAATAGAGAAGATCTTGACAAAATGGTATTCAAGAAACTTCCAGAATTAGAGCCAAATGGCTTAGTGGAAACTGTGGAAGAAAAATTTGAGTTCCTCTCTGGCTTGCAAGCTGTTCAACCTGTGGAGTTCATTTTTTAGAAGAATTTGATGCTAAACATCCTACTTTGAAATCTATTTTGTTGGTTTGAAGATCAAAGTTGAGTTACCAAAAGCACTACAGTTGTATTATTTTGTTGCCTTGAAATTTGTATGGCTTCAACACTACAAAACTTGAGGTCAAGTTTTCACCAAGTGGGGGACAATGATGCAGATAAGGACGTAAATAATATATTTATTAGGATTTTATTATGATTATGAATATATAGGACTTAAATGGAAATATTACTAATAGCTTATATTTATTAAGATCTGTTATTAGAATTTGGGTTTTTAGCTTTTATATTTAAATGTAGGTTGTATTAGGGTTGTATTAGGGTTATTCAGTTGAAGTGTTTATGAATTGAAATTATCTTCTAAAAATCCCTAATTCTGCTATTCTCTTCCCACCCTTGCCTCTGTTTCTAAGTTCTATCCTCACCTTTGCTTCCTGTTCCACATCAGATTATTTATCACACAAGAGCTAAAACTGCTTCATCCAACTTTTAAATGATATTCTGTTTCTTTCCCCCTTAAAAATGTAAAAATAAAAAACACAAGCCAGTTAAAAGAGAATTTAAAAGAAAAGCCAAATTGCTCCAAAATAATAAATTTGAGTCATTAATTAGCCAATGACATTTAATTCAAAGAAACATAAAATTACCATTCGATGGCCTGAACGAGGACTTGGACATCCTTTCAAGTTCAGTTGTTCCCATTGATTTGTTTTCAGGTCCAGCATCCAAAAGTCCTAAAGTAGCAAATTCAAAGGCAAACCCAGAGATTAAAGATTAATTAAGACAAAAGGACAGATTATATTTAATTTAAAATTTAAAACACACAACAACAAAAAGTGCATCTGCACCCTCATGCACATTCAGAGGGAGAGAGAAAGAGAGAAAGAGAACATGATGCAGGTTTTCACCTTGTAATGGTGGAAACGCTCTTGATTTGGGGATGTGAATTCACCACCTATTCACATAATAACGTAATTATACATTTAATTCCAAAGAACAGTTGTCTTAGAGCAACTGTTTGAAAATTTTGAGCAATATCGTTTTAGTCTACCAAAGATATAGAGATAATTCTTCCAAGTAACAGCCTGATGAGCACTACAAGGAGGTGGACTATTAGGGCTTGAAATCAACTTCCATTCCAGCTTGTCCACATCATACCGGTAAAGATCACCATACACAAATGTCTGTACCAATCCAAACGAACATTATTCAAGGGAAAATTGAACTTTGAAGCAGCAAGTACCTCAAATCAATGAAAGTTAAAACCTACCTTGCTACCATTATAGAATTCACCACCATAAAGTATCAACTCTGTCTCTTTGAGTGGATTAATGGTTAGCTATACAACATTACACAATCATTTACAGGAAACAAATCAGTTTGAAAGGGGAAAGAAGAAATGTTAAAGAACGATTTTATAAAAAAAAAAAAAAAAACTATTGGCAGATGGAGGCATTACGGTACAGTTGGATCGAGGTGAAGGTGCAGGGACATTTTCCTCAATGTGAACTTCCTTCTTCTTGGCCTCCTCTTTTTGTATACTTAACTGTGAACCAAAATGCATATCAAATCAAGTCCAAAAAAATGTTCCCTTCATCATTTCATTACTTAAAGAAACACAATTTGACAATATCATTAACAAAAAAATTAGAAAAAAATTGGTCCCATTTCTTTCAGCAGCAAAATAGTCCCTGAACAAATGTTTTCCAGACATTATACACCAGTAAGGAACCTAATTTCATGAAATTAATCATCTAGGATTGGGAGCCAATTCAAAGTTAAGAAAATGCAAGAACCATACCTACTCAACTCAACCACGAATTAAACAAACAACACACACACACGCACACACAAAAGCTTCAATTTTGCTATGATTCATAACATAGTGAAAACTTCCCCAAGGCGTCAATGTCATTTAATAACAGAAAGTGTTAGAGTTGAGAAGTAAACTACCAAAATGGCGTCGATATCGTCCTCAGGGGAAAGCTTCTTGGATTCTCTGCGACCTCTCTTCTCCTCAGCTTTGGCTGTTTTCCTCTCTGTTTTCTCTTTGCCTTTTCCTGGCTTCTTGGTTTTCTTCCCCATTTACGATCCTCCGCTACCGAATACTATACTCTCAAAAGGATAACACCCGAGTGAAGGCGCCGACCGCCGAACAGAAACTCAACGAGCTCATCCAACAGCTCTCGTTTCTTCTCCCCTTTAAGGCTTGGGATGGCAATCACTACGTCTCGAAGTCGGAGGAGAGGTTGTCACCAGGCCAGGCGGGCTTAGAACCAATCCGGCCAATCTCGGCCCAGTCCAGTGACAGGAAGTAGGACTCAATAATAGAAGTGATCGGGCCGCTATGCATGGGTTTTCAATAAGACTGTAAATGAATAAAGTAAGATATGAGTAACTTGTGAGTTACTTAAGTTTAAATTTTTATATCAGGTTTAATAGAAAATAAGTTTGGGTTTTTATAATTACTTATGAACTACTTATAAGTGCTGGTTTTTAAAAATAATATTATATATTAATTAACATTAAATATATAATAATTTGTAAACTTAATAAGATTAAAAAGGTAACTTAAATGAATTGCATATTTTGTAATATAATTATTAATAAAAATATTTAAATAAATTTTATAGTTGTTTTTTTGGTGTTGAACCTAATATATTTAAGTTTTTGGTATTGTAATAGTTTTGAAAAATGTAGAAAAATTTATAGTTAAATAATTAGTTATTGAAATACTTGAAAATTATAAAAAAAAAAAAAAAAAACTTAAATTTAAGTTAAAGTACTTATTGACTCAAGCTCGTAAGTAAACTCAAACTCATTCAAATATTCATGAGCTTGAGTATAAGCTCAACTTAAACTCAATAAATACCCGAACTCAAATTTTAAAAACAAGCTCAAGTATAAGTACTTGGGTACTCAACTTGACCTATTAACAGTCTTAGTTTTCAATCTTTGTATGAATTTTGTTATTAAAAACATTAATCATTGTTTTTATAATTAGAAGTACAATAAAGAAACCTCAATTTATTAAACATTTCATTGCATAGAAAATGAAAATACTATAGTTATAATATACTATAGTTATAATATACTATAATATTATAACCTTACAATATGATACGTCATTATATAATTAATTTTTTTATTTGGAGGTTTATTCATATTATTACATGCATTTACTTATTTAATATCATATCTTATTTATTTAACGTCACATTACAATAATAAATTTATAAGTTTAAATAATATTATACCTATAACACTACCAAATAAAAAAAATAGAAGTTGATTTTGTAAAGTTAATTTATATAACAAAAAAAAACTTCTTTTTTATGTTTGAAATAATGTAGAGTACATTAAATGAAGTTTTACTTTTAGTAATTACTCCTTTTTTGGTTAGTTTGATATTGTACAGAAGAGTTGGGAGTCTTGTTCCTGTAATTTGTTAAGAAAATAGTTGTTTATTAATATCATGATTTTTTATGGAATGTGTTATTTTGACTTATTTTTAATATTAGTAAAAAAAATTTCTTTTTTTAATAGATATAAATTTAAAAATTTTACTCTAATTTGTTTAAACCTTCAAAATAAGATTGTTTGGTGTTTTTTTTTATCGATAGTAGTTTGATTGCATAGAGAGAATAATACCACATCTATTTAACTTATTAGACTTAGTTTCTAATTTGAAGCGATTAAATTAGTTGTTTACCATTCATTTGTAGAATGTCATTTTAATGTGTTATTTCTATTTTAATCTTATTTGAAAAATATAATTAGAGCATATGATATTAAATAATAAGTCTTATTTAAATGGTATTTAATTAAAAATAAATATGTTTACTAAAATTTATCAAATAGAGTATGTAATTAGGTGGTAACTTATATTTAATATCTGTTGAGGTTTTTTAGAGTTTCAATATTAGTTGGAGGTTTCTTAGTAGTACAATTAAATTAATAATGGAGTAATGGATACTTATCATAGGTGGTTTTTGTGGTGAGATTTTCTTCTAGTGTGTTTAGTAGTTTTATAAAAAAAGAAAATATGAAGATATAAGAGTAGATATAGTTAAAATTTAAAATTATATTTTTTTTAGAAGAGAATTTAAAATACATATTTAAAAATAATAGCCAAAAATACCAATTAGCCCCTCAATTTTTTTAATTTGAATCTGCATTTCTTCAAATTATAATTTTGTAACTTTAAGCCACTCAACTTTATAGCTTTGAGAATTTGTGACCAAATTAACAAAAATGAGTCACATGCCTCAATTGTTAGTTACATGGCTGTTCAAACACAATATGTCACACAACATGTAATACATTTTAACCACCTAAGCAGCCATAGTTGATTGTTTTGGCATAATTTGGGCCACTCAAATCACTTGTGGACCCATTCATGTCTAAACTTGAAAATTGAACTTACAAAATGTGGTTTTGCTCCTAGAAGGTTACCCTTTTTTTGATTGATGGTGGAGCCAATGATTTTTCATTTCCATATTAAGGTAATCAACAACCTTAAACACAAACTAAAAACTCATTTCTCTCTTCCTCTCTCTCTTTCTCTATCATAATAAAATTAAAGGTTTAATTATTTTAAAAAAAATACATGAAATTATTCGAAACTAAGTTCTTCTTTGATTTCAACTTTATTCTCCACACTGACATTTGAAATTGTCCAACACAATAATAAGCCCCAATATAATCTAAGCATTGGCTTTTATGGAGAACATATATAAGATTTTCATTAGAAAATCCAATACAAAATGAGTTTTAGATAACTTAAATCTAGATTCCTTGGAGAGCCCACATTAGGTTCCATTAAGACATTAGGTTCCATGAAGATCTTCATGGAACCTAATGGGCTCTCTAAGGAACCCACATCTAGAATATCAAAGGAACTAGGTCTGGGTTCCTTAGAGAACCTTGTGTTCCATGGAGAATCCAAATTTGGGTTCTCAAAGGAACCCACATTAGGTTTTTGTTAATTATTATTTAAAAAAAAAAAGAGAGAAGAAGATAAAGACTGAGAAGGAGGAAGAATGATAAAAATAAAGAAAAAGAAGGAATAGGAGACATGAGGATGAAGGTGGAAGGAGAATGGATTTTGATTCTTCTTTTAATGAAAGAATTAAATATTTGATTAATTTGGTGGGCCCCAAAGATTGCCACATTGATTTAGGCGAGCTTATTTTTGCTAGAAAAGATCCATTGTGGCAATCTAGGTGGATAAAAACGCTTATGTTGTGTAACTTGTCTCTTTTTGATGCCATGTAACTAGCACATGAGGCATGTGACTATTTTCCATTAATTTGGTTATAAATTCTTGAAGTAGAAGAGTTGAGGGTCTTAAAGTTATAAAGTTATAAAGTTATAATCTAATGTTCAAACTTAGAAACTCGAAGGACTAATTGGTGATTTTTGCCGAAATAATATCTAAGTGTTCCATTTCTTTTTGATTTATTATGACTTCCAAAGTTCCTTTGTTTTGGTGATTTTAATGTTTACATGTTTGTAATTTATAGATATGCTAATATGTAAAATTTGTAAGATTTAGGTAGTTTCAAGTGTATTATTACTCTAAGAGGTTTAGTCAAGGTTGCAAAAGGCGTTAGGTGAAGGTGGAAGGTTACCAATAGCATAAAGCCTAGAGTGCATAGGTGGTGCTTAGGTTGCCTAGATGATTTTTTTTTAAATAAGTTTTTTATATAATACTAAGAAGATATGAATAAAAAGTGAAATAAATTTAAAAATTACAAAAAATAAAGAGAAAAATTAAATTTTTTTCTATCCATTGTCATTATAAATTTACTTACCTTAATCATTTCATTGTGCAAGCTCTAGGTGTGGATGAAATAAATTGGCACTTGGTACAAATAAATGTAAATTTGGAGGCAAAGAACCCTATATATGTAAAGCATGTGAAATTGTATTATATGGACTCTTAATATAATTTTTCATCAATAAAGAATAAATGAATTATAAACTAAATATATATTTGGTACTTATACTTAATTTTGTTTTTAATAACACAATTGCACTAGTAACAAAATATTAACGAAGTTATATGATATAAATATAAGTTATTAAATTAAACCAAAATACTATCTACATTAATACAGTTGCATTACTCACAATTAACTCCTGCTTGTACAAAGAATGAACAAAGGCTTGATTGTTCAGCCTTAAACAATACCATCTTATCTATTGTCTTCTTTTCATTAAATAACCAATGAAGAGCTAAAGATCTATCTATAGAGTCCTAAAAAAAATTCTAGTACTACTATCATATCTAATAATGATTCTAATAAACAAGATGAAAGTAAAAAAAAAAAAAAAAAAAAAAAAAAAGTTGCATTGTTGAACTCAAATCCAAGTCCATAAACAATAAATGAACTAAAATCCAAACGCAAAATACAAAAACATAGTTGAAATATAATTGCACACTTACACTATGTGCTAAATTAAAATTCAAATCTATGAACAGTAAAAAAACTAAAATTCAAATGCAAAATACAAAACATAGTTGAAACATAATTGTACACTTACACTACTATACTAAATTAAAATCTAAGTCCATGTATAAAAAAAGAACTAAAATTCAAATGTAAAAAAACTAAAACATAGTTGCTACCCTATTGGTTACTATATTGAACTAAAATCCAAATATGTGGACAAAAATAGAATTAAAATCCAATTGTAACTATTCATCATCAAACCAAGGTTTTGCCTCATCTTCTTGAAACTAGAGTACCTTATTTTCATCACTATTAATAAATCTAACATCTTTACCCACCTTTAGATCCTCTTCATAAGACAAATCATCTAACTCTTCATTAAACTCTCTCATTAAGGGAGTAGCAAGAGTAAAATGAGACCTAAGGCTTCTTCTAAGTTGTAAAACTGAATCTACCCCTAATGCTTTTACCATCACAGTACAAGAAATATTTGTTCTTGGAAATAAGTCATCCTTCTAACTAATATGCCATTTTCTACTAACCATCCTTATGCATTAGTGACATCACTAGCAAGTAAGATATCTCCATTCTCAGCAACTCTTTTTTTCTTATTGGATAGCTTTGTATTGAATTGAAGAAAAACCAAATTATTCAATCTAGAAGCTTTCAAGCTTATTCCTTTTCTTGAAAAAGAGAAGCAAGAGAACACATTTTATTTTCAATACATGGAATGCTAAGATTGTTCAAGTTTACGAGAGCTTAAGAAAGATAGATGTTAGTTTAGGGAAACACATTTTCTCAATTATCACTAGAGAATCTCTCATGAAGCTAATGGCTAATATATAAAATAGTAAACACTTACTTACCCCCTTGAAGAAACTCCAATTCTATTTACATCTTGAAGCACTAACAGTCAATCACAAGATTCTTGTTGTCATTTTACAAAGATATAAAGTTCTAATCCCCAAGTTATCTACTATGCAATTAAAAGTTAATCAATTTACAAAAAATAGACAAATAGTTAAAATAATCTTCAATTAATTACACATAAGCATTAAGAAGCATGAACAAAAGCACTAAATATTTAATACTATACCTAGATCAAAACTATCCATTGAAACATGTGTTCCATAATTGCACTTTTTCTTGAAAAACAATTTGCACGAAGTTTATACTTGGTAAACTTGATGGTTTGAACTTCATAAATAACATTTTCATCATTCATAAAAAACTTTTCAATTGAATCTAATATGGCTAATTGAATCTTCAACTCCATCTTCATATTGGATCATTATAAAAATAATATAGATTCAACAAATATACAGCTTTTTGTAAAGATGTACCGACCCTATGTTTATTATTTTCATCCAGTGTTTTTGGACCCGGCCCGGCCCGGCCGGTTTAACCAGTTTAACCGGACCCGGGCTTGAAAACGGGCCGGGCCAGTACCTTAGCCCGTTTTGCAAGTTCACCCGTTTTGGCCCGCTGCTGCCCACCTAACCCGCTGAAACCGCCTAACCCGCTGAAACCGCCTAACTCGCTGGGTTGAATGAATTTGGGTTTTTACAATTTTACTTTTTAATGACTTCATGAATTTTTGGTTTTTACTTTTTAATGACTTCACTTAATATTAATTAAATTTTTTAATATAATTATCCATACCATTAACTTTAATCAAAAATTAAAATCTCACCTCAATTAAAAAAACAAAACTCTCGGAGGATTACGGCTTCTTATTTCACTGCAAATTGCAAAAGCAAAATAAACTCCAAAAGAAATTAGAAACAAAAGAGAGCAGGGAAGAGAAGAACAGCACCACCACCAGACCACCAGTACTACGCACTAGTCACCACCGCCGGCCTTTCCCTGCCCGATCTCAACCACCTCCGTCTGCGGCTTTCAGTCCTTTGTCTCTGTGCAGAAGCAAAACCAGAAAGCAAGCCCTTCATCTTTGTGCAGAAGCAGCCAGAAAGCAGAAAGAAAACAGAGCAGCGAAGTCACCGTTGGCCAACTACCTCCCCGATCTCAACCGTCAGCGACTCCACAACTGCCTCCCCGGATCTCAGCCCTTCGCGTAAGGATGATAAGCTACCCCTATCCCCTTCCTCACCTCTGTTCCGTCGGCTAAAACATCGGCACCCATGGCGACTTTGCCGTTGACGGGGACCGGCGGGTACAGCCGCATGGTCTCGTAGAGACAAGCGTGGGTATAAACCATGTCTTTAACTTCTTTGAAAATCGGCGAATTGGATTTCTCCTGGATTTCTTTCAGAATTTCCAATTCAACTTCTAGTTGTTGAGAAATCAACCAGAAAAACCACGTTAGCGCCGTCGATGTTGTGTCCCTGTCGGCAAGAATGAAGCGGATGACTATGTCAGTGACGAAGTTTTCATTAGAATGGCCGGAGCTCAAGAATCGCGATAAGAGATCCACCGATTCGAGCGAGGATTTATCCTTGAGTTCTTGTTTCTCCCAATGTTCTTCGAAATCTCGGATATCAAAGGTTGCAATTTTGAGTCTTTTCTCCGATCCTATAAATGTAAAATTTAATAAGAATGTAAAAAGAAATGTTTTTTTAGTCAACCGGTTGAACCGGTCGGGTGAACCGGTTCAACCAGTTGAACCAGACCCGGTGGCCAAAACGGGTCAGCCACCGGGTCGGGTACAAAAACATTGTTTTCATCAATCATATCCAAAACACACTTGCATCCTTTTTCATTGTTATAAATTGCTTGTATTTCTTTTTTTTGCCTTCTCTAACTCTTAAAGAATGAAACCCATGGATGGTCTACTATCCCCACCAACTAGCCATAAAACTTTTCCAAGTTTGTAAATTACAAATTAAACATAGTAACTTGGCAAATTCTAACTATATGCAAAATGTTATGTGAGAAAATATTATTAACATAGTTACTAACAAAATAACTAATTTGATATTAGAATAGAGGGAAATAAAAGGGAAAAGACAAACCTTCACTAAAAGAGCACAAACCTTCAATCACATATTGATATCTTTCCAAAATGAAACACTAAACATTATTAAACACTAAAAACTATTGATTTGGCTTGAATTCCCATATTAGATTTACAATACTTGGACTTTTGCCATTCTTCTAAAGTGAACATAAGCCTCAATTTCTCTACTTCTTTTTTTTTTTTTCATATAAACTTTGCAAAGTGAGAAACAAGGTTGCAAACTTCATCACTCTTAGTTTTTATATGTATTCTTTTTAGGTATATTTTCGCATAATTTCTAATGTTCTTTTATGTGCATAGATAAAAATTGTAAGATTCTTAGCCTTTGTGATGACATTATGGAATTTGTGGGTCTTGCTAATTCCTTCAAGTATCAAGTTTATTGTGTGGACAACACAATAGCCCTAAAACAATTTTGGCTTGTTTTATAAAATAAGTCTTACTATTACCATATTGTTTGCAGCATTATCAATGATGACTTAAACAACATTTTCTTCTCCAACCTCATCAATACTCTTACTAACATAGTTGGCTAGTACTCAACAATATAGTCATCCTCATATTCCTTTTTGGATGAAAGAAAAATCATTCATAGCCTTTAGTTTACACATAAGTTCATAATGCTTCTACATTTGCTATCTATCCAAGCATTTGTCATTAATGAACATCTAGTTTCTTTCCATTTTTTTTCATGGTTTTTTAATGATTCCTTTATCCTTTCAACTTCTTTCTTCAAGAAGGCACACTTAATTGATATTAGTTAGGTAGTCAATAACTTCTCCCATGATTATCTATTACCTTCACCACAAGAATCAAGCTTGGATGTGTAATGGCATTGAAAGGGATGCTAGCTTTGTAAATCCATTATTCCGCTTATGGATTAACATTATTCTCGGTCCTTTAGCAATGGAATCATCTAATCTTTGTTACTTTTAAGTCTTTTTCACATATTTTGCTTACATCTATGTTTTTCAAAGTGAATCTATTTAATAATCCAAGCTTCCTAAGCTTCCTAAGTTGCTTTACTAGAGGTGAGATAAGTGTATCAACAAAATCAACATCTATTTCCATGCCTTGTATTTAAGAGAACTAACAACTAGTTCTTTATGCTAATCCTTGTGCTTTTTAATCTTTGGCTGTCTTTGACTTAGCCAAAGCTTTGCCAACACCTTTTTTTAGATTCATCTGAAACTTTTTTATATTTTTAACACTGGTTCCATAATGAGCAAGATGACATTTTTTTTTTTTGAAGATGCCACCTCTAAATATATTTTGACAAAAGTGGCATTTTACAACATTTAAATCTTTTGAATCATTGAGTTCTTTGTAACCTCATCCCACGTCATCTAATATCCTTTTTAAAGAGGAAGTTGCATTGCAATCACATTTAAAGCATTTGAAGAAAGAGTTGTATGTACTGTATGGATTAGACTCTAGACAAAATAGACAGAAATAAGAAATTTAACTTCAAGTCTAAGTTTTAGTTTAACACAGAAGAATATACAAAAACAAATATTCAAATTATAAAGTTAAATGTTATTAAAATTACAATTGACAATAGGAGTATGAATTACAAACAAATTTTTACATGTATGGATTGTGTGACAAAGTTTTTTTATAAAAAAAGAATCTTCCCTTACATTTGCCATTGAATATAACAAGAATACAATAATAACACAAACTTTTTAACTTAGTGGTAACTTAGAGGATCAAAATTCAAAGTTTTTCATGAAATTATAAAATCAACATATGTTGAATCCCAATTAGGAACTCAAAGATGTGCTCAAATTTTGGAAATAACGTAATTTGGAGGCAGAGTATTACAGAGGACTGAAGCCCTATAATTAGAACATGATCGACTTGACCACAAGGAAAACAAAGAAAGACAACAAGAAAAAAACAAGTAACTAAATTTGTATGAGTGTTGTTTTGTGTTTATATACATAGATGGAAGTGACTTTGGGTTTGGAAATGGAAAATGAAGAGTCTTAGAGAAGGAAGCAAGAAGATGACAAAGTGAAAGCGGGCAAAATATATGTATAAATAGGAATTTAGGGCTTTTTTTAATAATATTTTTTATGAAAATGAAAACAATGTTGTTTTATTAGTTTGGAAGAATAAAAAAAATTCCCTAGGCAGTTTAGGTGTAATTAAGCGTACCTATTAGTGCTTGGGCTTGCTCAATCAATATGGGTAGTTCAAACTGCACAAACCTTCCGACTAGAGACCAATGCGATGCAAGAAGACATTGCAAAGTGACTAGGCACCGCCTAGGCTTGCTTTTACATTATTGGCTTTAGTTTAGAGCATGAACAAGTGGTAGTTTTTGGCCTTTCATCTCTAATCCTAACCCTTTGATTTCAATCACCATTTATTGGCTAGCTAAGAGCCACTATACCTTATTATCCCTAAAAAAAACCCTCCTTTTATACCCATTCATCCATTCCTCTCAATAGGGAATTAGGGCTCCCAAAGATTGATAAAGTATCAAGGAGTCACAAATCTTTGACTTATTAACTTCTCTTCCAAAATTTGGCTAGCTGTGATCAACATGCATTGACTGGAGCAAAGTGGCTTTGAATCAAACTCAAAGGAGTCCATAAGTTCTAGATGCAGATAAGATCTACCATTGTTTAGATCCATTCTTCGGCTAAAAATCCCTCATGAGCCCACAATGTTATGCTTGATTATGATAGACTTAAAACCAAATGTGAATAGAAATATACACTTGATTTGTTTTTAATAATTTTTAGTTTTCATATTTCTTGAATTGAAAATCTTTTAACTCTAAATATGCCTTTTTGAATATGTTTCATTTTACATGTAAGCCATGATTTTAACTTGGAGATTTCCTCTTTAATACATTTCCTTTTAACTCAATAAACAAAATTAGAAATTATCCTTTTTTGCTAATTTATTAAGAGATTTCAACCTCTAAGACTAGGTCTCAAAACCCCTAATGCATTTGACTATAAGTTGTTTATCAAGCTTTAGGTTCTAACCTCTTATTTTAAGGTGCAAGATCATGATTTTTGCTAAGTTACAAAGATTACACAAAAGGGTCTAACCCTTGGATGCATATTTCAACCTATTGATACAAAAATCTTGAATAATTTTCTAAAATCAAAAGAGATTCTTTTTAATTGAACTATAATGGTCATAAACCATTAATTGAATAATATTGAAGGATAAAAAGAATTTAAAGCACGTAGGAAAAACAAAAAGTAGAAAAAGTGCTTTAATGTCAAAAAACAAGAGAGATCAAAAGAATAAATTAGAATAAAATAATAAAATAAATAAATAAATAGATGAATAATAATTCTCAATTTGGCCCAACAGTTTTGATTAGATGCGTTTGATGGCACTTTTCCAATTTCTTCAATCTAGTCCTATATTTTTAAATTACATCAATTTAGTCCTACTTTCAATTTAATTCAAATCAATTGTTTTACTTTTCAATTGCTTCAATTAGGTCCAATATCTTCAAATCCTTTCATTTAGACCCTTGAATGTTTGGGTTTGTTTCATTTAAGTCCATTAATTGAAAAGGTGTTTTCAATAAGTTGAATTAAATCGTATGTTATATGGAAGATTATGAGGTGCACATATATCATTTCTCACTACTAACATACCCTCATACCCTAATCTTTGCACAAATCATTTAAAATGATTTGTCCCATTTTATAATTTGGACAAGTGACAACTCCTATTTTTCTTGATTACCATACTTATCAATTCAAAATTATATATTTTGAATTTTACATGGTCATCAACAGCTATAATACTCAGGATTCAGTCAAGGGAATGACTTTGGGGCAATTTGGTAGAATTTAAAAGTAAACTTTTTTTCTCAAAAATTTAAAAACTTGTTAGAAAGAATATTTGAAATTAGTTCTTTAAGCGGTTTGTGAATAAATTTTGAGAAATCTACACATCCCAACTTTTTAATGGCTTGTAAGCAAATTCCATGATTTAACTTGTACACTCATGTTTGATTAAATTATAAATTTTTGTGGAATTCATTTGCAATTCTACCCCTTTTGTTTAGTTTAATTAAAAAGTATGAAAATCAATCCTAAACTTCTAAACTATGGCTAATTCAAATTCTATTTATTTTGAGGAGCTATGAATAAGTCAAGTTTTAAGATAACATATTACTCAATTTAAAAATCTCTCACTCTCTTTTAAATCTTGTTTGGTTTGAGGAGAGTGGAGGCTATTTCAACCTATTAAACTAAGTTAATAGCCTAAAAAAATAATTTGATTGGTTAACCTTCCCTCTCCTCTAAACAAAAAAGCTTTAATAATATGCTTGATTTGAAAAGAGTGGAGGGGAAAAAATTTTCTATTTAATTAAAAAAAATTCAGGGGAGGGGAGGGGAGGGAATTCCCTCCCCTCCTCTTTGTTTCCCTCAAACCAAATATGGTGTAATAACAAAGAAAATTTTTAAAAACATTTAATATTCTCAAATATAAATTTTTTGAAATTCAAATAAATTCAATAATTTGTTTAATTATTTCAAACATAGTCCCACACCAAAATCAACAAAGGGAAATTAAGTGCAATTTACCCAAAACATAAACTAATTTAATATATAATTTTTTTTTCTAAACCCTTTAATATCTAGAAACCATATTGGTTCTAATTAATATGGTTCTAATTAATCTAGAGTTAAGTTGTTTGTTTTTTCATTTATAAAAATTAAATTCGAGGCTTATTTAAAGGGAATCAGGTTTTTCCTGTTTGAACCAACAAATAAATTGTATATATAACCTAATTATGATTGCTTGAAAACAGAATCATGCAAAATACAAGTGTAGGAGATTTAACACGAAATTCATTTTGTGACATATAACTGGATTTGAGGGTTCGCTATCCATATCGGGCATATTACATATGAATTTCATGGCAGAGCTTTGGGGTTTTTCGTTAGGGACTTGGACTCCGTCGTCACTTGCTTGGTATTGTGAACATGGTTGCAGAGATTGAGGGTGTTTGCAAAAACTTAAATACAAGTTTGCTTTTAACTTGTTTTTTTAAGAAAATTTTGTAAGATAAATTTAAAGTTTTCTTAAATTTTACTTGAAAATTACTCCTCTTGTCCTAGAATGATAGATGTTTTTTAATTTTGAATTTTTCTTAATTGTTTTTTGTATTTAATGAAGACAAATTTTTTTTCTTACTAATTTATTATTATCTTTTCATTTTAATTATTTATCTTATTATAAAAAAGTCTCACTATTTTTATTTCCTTTTTATGGGTAATGTATTTTAAAAACATAAATTATTTCTATATCCTTAATTTAAAAATAAAATAAAACAATCTATTATTATGTGACAAAAAGAATATTTTCAAAGCAACTTTTTGAATATTTTTGTAATAAAATTTTAAATTTATAATTGAAAATTTTACTTAAAAATAAATTGCTTTTTAAGCTCCATCAAAACAGTCTTCAGACTCTTGGAAATTCAAGTCCAATTGTTTTTCAGATGCTCAACTCAACTACTTCCCATTATAATGGTGCAACTTCGTCGTCGTACATATAAATCTCTCCATGTGGGGAAGCTTTCACCTATTCACATTAAGAAGCTATTGCTACTTAATGGTGTCAATGGTCGATGACGTTGGTCAATTGAACTTGAAGCGAGAAACAGGTGACACACTACTACGCCAATCACCTGTGATGCCGTTGGCATTTGCCTAATATGATCGAATTTGAGATATAAATTTAGCAAGTATTTGATTTAGCTGCTACAAAATAACTTAAAAGGACATTAATATATACACCATTCAAAAGTTCTACATTTCATTACACACTAACAGTTTTCATTAATATGCTGTTAAAATTAATAAAAATTATTAATTTTAATGGTAAAAATAATAAAAACTATCAATTCTAACGGTACAAATAATGGACAATCAATATTAACGGTTCAAGTAACGGTCCGTCAATATTAATGGCATATTAACGGAAACCGTCCGTGTATAACGAAATGTGTAATTTTGAAAGGTATATGTATCATTTTTTAACTTAAAATTAACTTTAAACTCGAATTTCATGACAGTCAATACCTAAGCTAATTGGCAAAGACGGAATGGGAGGAATGATGGAGGGAAACAAAGAAAGAAAATAACCATTTGGACCTAAAAAGAAGAAAAGAGAACCCCTTTTTCGACTTTTCATAAGTAACCGCTACATCGGACTCAAGCCGGTAGCTGGTTTGATGACTTTGAACTCTTCTCAAAAGAAGAACCCACTGCCCCAGCCGTTTCATACACTAAAATACTAACCACAGTCTCTGTGCATGCAGCTCCCTTCCAAAATATAATATACACTACTAGTTTTAAATTAATTTATTTATTTTCTTTTTCCAATTAAGTGCTACTTGCTTTATTCTTAGGACCGGTTTTTCTACTGTTATGTCCCTAGGAATTAGGATACATGTTAGTGAAATTTTATGTTTAATTGTCATAATTTTGTGTGGTGCAAAAAAAAGAGTATTTTTTTATTAATTTGTGTTTCTAGAGTTTAAGTTAAAAATATATTTATTATATTTTTTATTAATTTATATATAAATTTATAAAAGTTAATTGCATTTTTAATACCAGTACTACATAAACATTTTAATTAGGTACTCAATAAAATTAAAGTAAGTTTTTATTTTTTTATAAAAATTAATGAGAAAAAAATGTAATAACTACTATTGATTTATTGGTAAATAAGTATTGTCTTATAAGTTAAGCATATGATTCAAGTCTTGAGATTAATATCAAAAGAATTAATTTTTTTAAATGCATAAGGCTGATGTAAGAGGCGTGCTCTTAAAATTATCCGAAGAAAAATTAATATCGAGAGGTGCAAAAACTTGTCATGGGCTAAAACTTGCAAGGAAAACCCTAACAAAAAATTAAAAAAAATAAAATAAAAAATACAATAAATATACTCTTAACATATATATTAAAAATTATTACAAAAAATAGAGGGATAAATATATATTCACTTTGCACCTTATATAATTATTGTTATAGTGAAAAAGTTGAGGAAGTGTGGCATTTTCAATGAGCATGCGCGAGTTTTCTATAATTCCTCCCATTTTATTGATTAATGATTAAGATGATAAAAAGGTAACAAGGATTAAGGAATCTTCCAATTAACGAGATGGAATCAAAGTTTTCGAACAAACTGAAATTAAAGTCATGTGCCGGTACTAGGTATTGCTTTTAGTTGGAATATATAAATCGCAATTTCGCTCTCGTAGATAGTTTTTGTTTAGGAATTTTATTTAATTAAAAAAATTAATATTTATATGTTATAATTTAATTAAAAAAATTAATATTTATATGTTATAGAAAAATAAAAAATATATATACCAATCTTGATTTCAAAAAAATTAAAGTTTTAATCTAAAAATTTCTTTCTTATAATTTAAAAAAAAATTATAATTTGATTGATAAAAAATTTTTTTCCTCCCTCCATTCCTCTTAACACCGATATACTTAGTGTTTAAACTCCTTAATGAGTGAATTATTGAACTGAGCAAGAATTTAATAATAATAACTATTATTATTATCTTCTTCTTCTTCTTCTTCATCATCATCGTCGTCATCGTCGTCATCGTTGTCGTCGTCGAATATTAAAACCATAGAATATATTAGTAGATGTTTAGAATAGAATTTAATAGGCTCATTGTGAAGACACTTATGAAATCGCCTGTCATATTGGTTCCTAATTGAATTAGAATATGTAATTGAAATTCAATTATTATATGATTATTTAAATATAATTAAAATTACAACGATTTAAATAAATCAATAATTATTTTTTTTTATAAAAAAATAAGAGATCATAATTAAATTATAATTTATACTCAAATCTTTAATTTAAATTATAAAAAAAATCTACAGTGAGATTTTCCCAACTTCGTTCCAAAAAAAAACGTTCCCAATAAGATTATCTTGCAGTAACTAGGCCGGCC